GTAATGAACTGCGTGGATGACCTTCGTGCAGGGGTGTCGAACTGCCGGCTCACAGGCCGGATGCATCATAGCGAAACCGCACCCACCCCATTGCCGGCAATGGCAAAAAAGTCATGATGCGTCGTGACATGTCACGTGACATTGCGAGTTTGACATCCCTGCCTTAGTGGATGAGTGGAAGAGATGTTTCCTAGGAATCAATGAGATAACAGAGGAAAAGGTTTCTACCTTCAGATTTGCAGGATTCTGTTAATCTAGGCTTATATTAAAATAGAATTAACTCTTCTAGTCATATTTCCTGTCTAGTCTACCTCGAAGGGCTGACACTTCCACAAAGGAATCCACTCAGCTGCTCCTCCTTTTGCTCCTCCTCTCTATAACTGTAAGCTATCAGTGGAAAGTAGTTGAGCTAAAAAGCATAAAAATATTCAAAGCCAAATGAGATTCAAAAAAGCTTTACCAAACCCATATTACAAGAAAAAGGATCAGCACAAGAAGAACAAAAAAATTTTTACAATTCAATGTTGAATATATCTGTATAAAACAGTGGTTCTCAACCTTTTTAATGCCACGACCCCCAACCGGTCGTAAGTCGAGGACTACTCAACTGGTGCAGCACCGTTTGCAGAATGGGACTTTTGGCGGGCTCAGCAGGGCAGAGACAGCCTGGACAATTCCTATTGGCTTTTGAAAGCCAATAGAATTAGACTCTATTCAAGAGAGTCTATTCTATTGGCTTTCAAAAGCCAATAGAATAAAAGGGAGTAGCACAGCTAAGGAAAAGGGGGAAAAAATGGCGGACTGCGTTGTTTGGCGACCCCCGTGAAATGGTCGTTCGACCCCAAATGGGGTCCCAACCCACAGGTTGAGAACCGCTGGTATAAGACAATGTTAGCACAGAAAAGAAAACAAATGAATTCATGGAATGGAAAAAAGATCAGCATAGGTGGTAACCTTACAATAAAAGAATCCATACAAGGGGGAAGTCATATAAATGTTCAGAGGGTGGAAAATACTTCTGTCAAAAAAGTAACCTTATTTTGCATCAAAGGATCCATACAGGTGAGAAAAACTAAATAAATGCATGGAGTGTGGAAAGTTCAAGTGGAACAGTGACCTGACTTCCTATAAAAGATCCATGCAGGAGAGAAACCTGTGGGAAGAGCTTCAGCAGAAGAAGCTTTTTTTTCCACAAAAGAAGCCACACTGGAGAAAACATAAATGCATGGGGTCTGGGAAGAGCTACTGCGCTACTAGTGGACTTAATTTTCCATAAAAGCCTGCACATGAGAAAAACACTATGAATGCATGAAATGTGGGATGAGCTTCAGAAGGCACAATTACCTTATTTGACATAGAAGAATCCACACAGGAAGAAACCATATGGTTGTACGGAGTGTGGTAAAAATTTAATGTAGAGTTGTTACCCTGCGTTCTCATAAAAGGATCCACATGGGAGAAACTGTACTCATGCACTGAGTGTGGGAAAAGCTTTTGGAAAAGCAGTTCGGTAGCTTCCTAAAACTGTCACTTAAATTTTAGAAATCCTGGCTTTCCTGAGTCTGCATGGAGCAGAACTGGGTTTTGGTCATGCTCATGTTTTACTGGCCAAAACATACTAGAACTGATCGGGTTCAGGAAACACTCTACTTCACATGAGAGCCTTTCAGGTTACTTCAGGTATCTTATCACAAAGCATGATGTGGAAGTTTAGAAAATAAAGATAATAATGGTTATAGGAAATATAAAAATGTTATATGAACAAAATAAGCCCCTTTTAAATATATAGAACTTGTGAAACAAATACCAATAGAAGCAAGTGGAACTTAGGTATTATTCTAAAAGTGCAAGTTAGAGGAAAGGATTAAAAAAGACAAAAGGATATATATTTAAATATTAATATACCAAACTGATTAACAAAGGTATACAAATATGGAACAAAGATAATTTCAAAATAATCAGAATAGCAGAGGAAAAAACTAATAGATAGATAGAACAACTCCAAAACCTTCCTTTTTGTTGGGGGTGGTGGTGGAGGAATACTGAATCCAAATATTGACATAATCCTTATGAATTGCTGATTGGTACAAATCAAATAATGATTGTTCTTTAGTAATGTATGATCATTCATTCCCCATTGACTTTGTTTCTGGGAATCCAGCAGGGAATGTTGGAAGTCACAATTACATGACTGGGGATTTTGCAATAGGTGAACTCATAAGTACCATTCCTTCCCCCCGTTGCAACTGGAAAGACTTGGTGGCTCACTAGAATATAATGGGGTAATTTAAAAAAATTAAAGGACAGTAGGATCTTCAAACTAACAACTGTCTTACATGCTTAATAAAGTCTTGGCCCTGTACAATATATGTTCAGTTGTGTAGTATTTGCATTATAGTCACTGCCTATTTCTGCAATGCAGTGATTAAATGGAGGAGGAGGAACAGGGAGACCCAGATTAGTCCACTCTTATGACACAAAATTGTCTCCTCTCTAAGAAGTCTTCACCTCAGAGAAGAATAAGAATTTTGTGGTAACTCTTTGTTGAGGAAGCTTAAAAAAACTACAAGGAAAAATTGCATGTGGAAATATAGAATCATAGAGCAGGAAGGGACTTCAGAGATCCTTTAATCTAACCTGAAGGCAGGAAACATTATACCATCCTGGTCAAATGATTGTCCAATCTATTTTTGAAAACCTCCAGTGATGAAGCAGCAACAACTCTGGGAGGCAAGCTATTTAACTTATTATTTCTTCTCACTGTCAGAAAATTTCTCCTTATTTCCAGGTTGGATCTCTTTTAATGATTTTCCATCTGTTACTTGTCCTGCCCTCTAGTGCTTTGGAGCAGCGCCCCCCAACCTTTTGGGCAGCTGGTGCTTTGGAGCAGCGCCCCCCAACCCAATAAAAGAAACAAGAGATAGCAACACAAAACAATAATTCTTACTTTAAGATTCAGAGGTTTATTTCATTAATAATTATATACCTGGTATATGACTACCCCTAGTCTTTCTTCTCTAGACCAGTGGCCCCCAACCTTTTGGGCACCAGGGATTGATTCCGTGGAGAGATTTTCTGTGGACCGGAGGGGGTGTTGTTTCATGTGCTGCCTGCATCTCACGGATGGGGCTTCACTTGTTTGTGCAGCCCAGTTGCTGGCATGTTGTGGCTGGTGCCAGTCCACGGACTGAGGGTTGGGGACCCCTGCTTTAGAGAATAAGTCAATCCCCTCTTCTCTGTAACAGCCCTTCAAGCATTGGAAGACAATAATCATGCCCCCCCCCCAAATCCTTCTCTTTGATAGCTAGCTACACATTCCTAGCTCTCTCAACTATTCATCATACAATTAAAAAAAAAACCATTCCCGAAACATCGCTTATCTCTCTTTCATCTTGGCCAACCTGAAAAATGATGCATCTTAAATGTTTTGTTTAGAACAGCATGCAAAAAAACCCTCCTTTTGGTCTTCTAATAAAACTTCATTTAGGCTTAAGAGGAAGGATGTGCAAGAAAACTCATTATTTTGAGTTTACATTTGTTCCAATCCTTTTTTGTCTCCAAATACAACAAGATAAAAAATCTATGAGGGCCTAAAGTGAATATAGCTGCAAAGACTTGATTGGAAAGCTGGAAGCATAGGGTAGGATATTTTAGTGGACATCCTTGTCTCGAGTAAAGAAAAGCCAACTTTCTCTCATTTTAAGGCCTAAAATTGAGGCTGTTTCTGAGTTTTGTATCATAACAAGTGCTGGGATGTAGGACAGAGATCAACAGACAGTTTGACATTTGACTTGCCTTCTGTGCCATCAAGTCAGGCTCAACAGATTTTGTCCAGGACAATCTCTTTCTAACTGGCTTCTTTTCCAGTGATGACCCACTGCCGTTAAGCCTTGTCCATTCACTTGGAGCTTATTGTCCTCTTTTACAGAGCACAATTCTGCTTTTTGGTGGGTTCCAGAAATATCTCTTTCCTCCACCCTCAGCCTGGAGGGAGCTGAGAAAGGGGAGCCCCAACCCAGAACAAGAATTCAGCCTCTCTTCTCTGTTGGGAGACCACCAGGAGATTCTATGTCTACAAGGGGAAGCTGCCAAAGGCTTTCCAGGGTCTGAGGGGAAGCACTGGGATCCCTTTGTCAAGATCCAGGAAGTCCCCAGCCCAGAGGATCACTTCTGTTCCTGCTTTTCTGGCTCTGAGGCCTCAAGCCCAGTTGTTGCCTCGCCTCGAGGGTTTGTGTGTCAGTCAGTCTTTCCTCAGGGAGAATTGTGTCTCTGTGTGCGTGTGTGTGTGTCAGTCAGTCAGTCTTTCCTCAGGGCGAAGTGTCTCTGTGTGTTTGTTCGCGCCCAAACCTGACAGGTGCTTCTCTCCTGCCATTGGCTCAGGGCGAAGTGTCTCTCTGTGTGTGTTTGTGTGCCTGTGCGCGCGTATGTGTCTGTCAGTCAGTCTTTCCTCAAGGAGAATTGTGTGTGTGAGTGTGTTGTGTGTGTCAGTCAGTCTATCCTCAGGGAGAAGGAGATTCCCGCCCAGCACAGAAGCAGCTGAAGAGACCCAGCAACTCCCTTCCCGCCCAAACCTGACAGGTGCTTCTCTCCTGCCATTGGCTCTCGCCAGGCTCACGTGACCCGGAGTGCTCCCCCCACACCCTGAGCCCCGCCCTCCCACACGAATGCCAGGCGCCCAGAGGTGGGCGGGGCAGCCTCGCTCGCTCTGAGGAGGACTGGCTTCTCTAGGACTCTGCGCTCGCTTGCTGTAACCCCTTCATATCCGCAGACGGCAAAGAAATCGCAGGGACCAAAGGAGGCGGGGGGGGGGGGGAGAGAGAGAGAGTTCTCTTCAGCTCTGACCGGATGGTGGGGAATGGAAGGATTAGTTAGAGCTGAAGAAGCTCCTTGGAGGAGAAGTGAAACGTCTTCAAAGAAAAGCAAGAAAGTCCAGTTGCCTCCTGAAAAATACATCTTTGGGACAACCAGGACCTGGAGGACGGAGAATCTCCATAGACCTTTCCTGGGAAAAGCCTCGGGGAAGGGAGAGGGAGGGTTTTTTTGGATTGCAAATTCAAGGAGTTTATTTATTTATTTATTTATTCCCCGTTTTGCTACCCTGTAAGCAATTCAAGGCGGCGAACTTCAGAACAACCGCCCTGTGAGGTTGTGCTGATCTTGTTAAAATGATTCTTTTGCATCTTAGAATAGAATAGTTGAAAGGGACCTTGGAGGTCTTCTAGTCCAACCCCCTCCTATTAATTCCAGGCCTCTAATTGCCGCAGTTTCAGCTAGAAGAAAGGAATCAATCCGATGATCAGTCGGTCTGGATCGGGGGAGGGGGAAGGGGGGGAGACAATCATTGCTGGGATCTGCTTTGGATCCCGGGTCGATCCCGCAAAGCTGCGGAAAAGACAATCGGAGAGGGAGCCATAGGGGGCGCCCACCTCAATGTCGAGGGGCTGAGCGCCACTGCGCACGCTCCGCCACGTCTGCCCAGCTGGGGAGGAGCGGCTGTGAGCTGTGACCTGGAAATCTGGGGAGGGGAAACGGGCAGGAAGGGGTCCCCCAACCCCGAGTCTCCCCGGGGAAGGAAGTAGCTGGGGGGAAGGCTAAAGGAGCTACCACATGTGGATAAACCAGGTTTGCTTCCCAGCATTTCCATGCAAAAAAAGAATTTTGGCAAGCGGGGGGCTTCCCTGTCTGGCGCTCCTCCACCCTCTGCAAACGGACCCCCTTCAAGCTTTTGGGGGAGGGATTGAAAAGACCCCCAGGAGTTTTTCTCAGTGGAGCTGAACGGCACCTCCAGAGAAGACCTTCCCTGAATTGGGGAGGGGGGGCTGTATGTCAAGAGTTTGATGGGAAGGAGGGAGACACCTTCCACTAAGAGTGAACCAATAGGATTTTGCCCCTCTCCAAACTGTCCTGAATTTGATGAAACTGTCACTTTCTGAATGAGAACAGTCTGTGTGATTTCTGAAATTTCTTTTCCTTTTCCACTTTAGATGTAAAAAACTGGAGGCCTCTCGAGAGCTGAATGGCTTGAAACTCTTCTCTGGGATTCTCTGGGCAACTCCCTCAGATCCCGGGACTGAAAAAAACCTTTTCAGACTCAGGAGATCCACAGGGCCCTTCTGGATCCCTGTCAGAGAAGAGACTGGAAATGGATGCAAACCAGCCAGCTGGGAAGCGAGTGGGAAAAGGCCCTGCTGCTGCTCAGCTGCGAAGCTGTGAGGAGGTCTGGGCAGGACCTGGGCAAAAGATCCTGGAGGAAGCTCTTAATTCTGAGATTCAGCACTGGCGCTTCAGGAACAGCCCCTTTCAGGAGGCTGAGGGACCACGAGAGCTTTGCAGCCGCCTTCACCGCCTTTGCCGGGGGTGGTTGCAGCCCGAGAAGCACACCAAGGCTCAGATGTTGGACCAGGTGATTTTGGAGCAGTTTCTGGCTGTCCTGCCTGGGGAGATGCAGTGCTGGGTGCGGGAATGCCGAGCAGAGACCAGTTGCCAGGCGGTGGCCCTGGCTGAAGGCTTCCTTCTGACCCAAGTAGAGAAGGAGCAGGGAGGACACCAGGTGAGAGATGTTCCTCTTGGGAAATATGGAGGTGTGGAATTCTTCAATGGATTCCTAACAGTTTTGGAGATTGATACATCTTAATAATCCCTGTTTACTGATTTCAGGACACAGCGCTTGCTACGTTGAAAATGAAAATGTAGTTCTTATATTCTTTTAATTCCTTTTTCATCAAAATTTCAGGTTCTGAGGTCCTTCATGGAGGTAGGGACTAATTGTCCTGAGGAAAGGGTGAATCCCACAAATCCCTCTCGGGAGCCATGTTTTAGAGGACTCTACAAAGAGGAAGGTCAATGTCAAGACACCTCACTAGGTAACGGGGTCATTCTACAAGGTTGGAGATTTTCCAAAGAGATTCTAGTTATTCTTCATTCCATCAGAGATGGAAAGGGGAGTAACCTATCTTTAGCCTTCCTTGAGAGATAATTTGGAGAAAATTCTGACACATATCCCTGCTGGACCCCCTCTAACATTCTTACTTTCTAGCCTTGCAAGTGTGTTCTTGGGATGCTAGAATTACATCATTTGTCCATCTATGTGGAACGGGTTGTTTTCAAGGGGTAGTGGGAGCATATACAGTGGTGGCCAAAATTGTGGAAGCCTTTTGGGAAAAGTGTACAGGAGAAATGCCACCTTTGGTTAAGTTTCCACCAATTTTTCTTGTGATTTCTTTATAACGGTAGCCTTGTTCACTTAATAATACTATTTTACATCGCTTTCTGGGCAACCAGTCAACTCTTTGCACCATGAATTTAATTTTATTACGTTTTACAAGGTCACTAAATGAAAGAACACAAAAAACCCCAACCAACTTGATAGCGATCACATAACACACTGACCAATGTCCTCCTCTCAGCTTCAGTACATGACATCAATAACTGAATCCTACTGCGATCTGATTGGCTCATTGCCAAAACAAGATGACAGCTGATTGGCTCTCTAAACACTCATGCTCATTGGCTACAATCAGATGAAGGGAAGCTACCTGATATCGACCTAAGCAAGTTGTGCTTCCTTTTTCTGGTTATTTGGCTATACCTTTTCATAGAATACAGTACAGATAATTGAACACAATATGTTGCATTACATTCTTGATTAAATTATATTTCCATTGATATATAATTTTATGGTACTACTCCCCCCCCCAAAAAAAGTGGTGTTATTAGCCATCAAATCTCAAAAATTTACTTTTCCCAAAAGGTTTCCACAATTTTGGCCACTACTGTATTAATGGTTGAGTGAATGCTTTGGTTGGCAAGAGTGTACTTGTATATACTTGTGTGTCCTTGCCCAAAAGGCTAAGACAGAGGCCCAATTGGGGTTTGTGTCCCAGTGCATGGTTGGGCTGTACTCTTCTCTTTTTATTCTTGGATCCCAAGATGGAGCCATGAAAGACTGCCAAAAGAAGGGGGTAATGGATGGAGGTTTCCTCCCCAGGGCAGGAAGAAATACTAAGTTGTTGCTTCAAGCTAGAAAAGATGGAGTTGATCCCTTCCCTGCTCTCTTGTCTTTTTCCCAGGGAACAAAATGGAGTCGCTGTTATTCATCCACTCATCTCCACGTACTGGTGGAGCTGAAAGAACAGTTGGACCTTCAGCTCAGGTAGGAAAGAAAAGATCAAAAGCTAATATGGGGAAACAGTTGAGACCTCCAGTTTCATTTGGGGTTTCCGTTTATGATATTGCTGTTCCTGAGTGATGTGGAACAGGAAAATTAGGATTCAAGTATAAACACTCGATTTAGAACACAGAACATAGAATATCAGAGTTGAGAGGGATCTCAGAGATCTTCTATCTAGTCAAACCCCCTGCTCGAGCAGGAGACATTGTACCATTTTAGACAATGGTTATCTAGCCCTTTCTTAAAAGTCTCCAGTGATGAAGCAACCATAACTTCTGTGTCATGGTTCCAACAGATGAAACTCTTCAAAGAACTTTGAGGCATTTTTTACCTTAAAGAATCTTTATTCGAGCAGCATAGCTTCAGCATCGTATATAGTCAAAGCCAAAATCTGGATTCCCCTCCCCTTAGCACACAGTATCAAACACAATTCCCTCCTCTAATTAACAGTCATAAATCACATTCTCCAATTAGTTTGAACTGCAGGCTTTCCCTCCTGTTCTCCAACCCGCCATTTATCATCTCTTATTTCAAGCTCTGAATTCACACACTAGTACAATATTGTTATGTCTAACTAACTCCCATCACATTCCTCCTCCTCCCCCAGTATAATCTAATTCTAAGAGTAAAGCATAAGAAAGAAAAAGGCTGAAACTCCATGTTGTCAAAGCAAGAACATTCAATGTTAGCAGCATTGACATTCTGAAGGAAAGCGGTTCCACTGGTTAATTGTTCTGTCAGGAAGTTTCTCCTTAATTCCAGGTTGCTTTTTTCCTTGACTAGTTTCCACCCATTAATTCTTGTCTTTGGTTTAGGTGCTTTGGAGCAGGGCTTTTCAACCTTTTCACCCATTGTACCACTTTTAGGATATGGCAACATCCGAGTACCACCAGTCGTCTAGCAAGGTGTCAAAACGTTGATGATCAAAAAAAAAAAAAAAAAGGAAAAAAGTGATAAAGTACAGGTAGTCCTCGACTTACAACAGTTCGCTTAGTGACGGTTTGAAGTTACAATGGCACTGAAAAAGTGCCCCCCAAGCCACAGCCGAGCAAGACACCTGTCTGCCCATCCGGTGGCGCTCTTCCTCCTGTCCAAGGTTTTCATTGTTGTGAGCATTTAGTAATAGTAATAGTAGTAAAGTTGGAAGGGACCTTGGAGGTCATCTAGTCCAACCCCCTGCTCGGGCAGGAAACCCTACACCATTTCGGACAAATGGCTGTCCAGTCTCTTCTTAAAAACTTCCAGTGTTGGAGCATTTACTGCTTCTGGAGGTAAGGCTGTTCCACTGATTAATTGTTCTCACTGTCAGGAAGTTTCTCCTTAGTTCTAGGTTGCTTCTCTCCTTGATTAGTTTCCACCCGTTGCTTCTTGTCCTGCCTTCAGGTGCTTTGGAAAATAGCTTAATTCCCTCTTCTTTATGGCAGCCCCTGAGATATTGGAATACTGCTATCATGTCCCCCCTTGTCCTTCTCTTCGTTAAACTAGACATACCCAATTCTAGCAACCGTTCCTTATATGTTTTAGCCTCCAGTCCCCTAATCATCTTTGTTGCTCTTCTCTGTACTCTTTCTAGAGTCTCAACATCTTTTTTACATCGTGGTGACCAAAACTGGATGCAGTATTCCAAGTGTGGCCTTACCAAGGCATTGAAGAGTGGTATTAATACTTCACGTGATCTTGATTCTATCCCTCTGTTAATGCAGCCTAGCACTGTGTTGGCCTTTTTGGCAGCTGAGCACACTGCTGGCTCATATTTAAGTGATTGTCTACTAGGACTCCGAGGTCCCTCTCACAGTTACTACTATTGAGCATGGTGCCACCTATGCTGTACTTGTGCATTTGGTTTTTCTTGCCTAAATGTAGAACCTTGCTTTTTTCACCATTGAATTTCATTTTGTTAGTTAGTGCCCAGTGTTCAAGTCTGTCCAGATCCTTCTGTATCTGAAGCCTGTCTTCTGGAGTGTTGGCTATTCCTGCCAGCTTGGTGTCGTCTGCAAATTTGATGAGTTCCCCATCTATCCCTTCATCCAAATCGTTGATGAAGATGTTGAAGAGTACTGGGCCCAGAACAGAGCCCTGGGGCACCCCACTACACACTTCCCTCCATATAGTTGCAGTTCCATTGAGGACCATCGCTGAGTACGGCCGGTCAGCCAGCTACGGATCCATCTGGTAGTGGTTCTGTCTACCCCACATTTTTCTATCTTGTCAAGTAGTAGGTTGTGATCTACTTTATCAAATGCCTTACTGAAGTCCAAGTAAATTATGTCCACAGCATTCCTCTGATCCACTAATTTTGTCACTTGGTCAAAGAATGCAATAAGATTTGTCTGGCATGATCTATTTTTGACAAACCCATGTTGGCTTTTAGTAATGACTTTGTTTGCCTCTAGGTGTTCGTTGATTCGTTGTTTGATTATCTTTTCCAGGATCTTCCCAGGTATTGAGGTCAGGCTGATAGGTCTGTAATTTCCTGGATCCATTTTTTTTCCTTTTTTGAGGATGGGAACTACATCGGCTCTTTTCCAGTCCTCTGGTAGTTCCCCTGTGTTCCAGGATCTTTGAAAAATATAGTTCAGTGGCTCCGATATCACATCTGCCAGTTCCTTGAGAACTCTGGGGTGTAATCCATCTGGTCCTGGCGATTTGATTGTAGCAGGTTTTGGTCACTTCACATGACCCTGGGACACTGTGACCGTCATAAATATGAATCAGTTGCCAAGCATCTGAATGTCAATCACAAGACCCTGGAGATTCTGCAACATTCCAGCTTATCGACGCTTCTTCTGGGCTCAGCAGAAGCGCCAGGATCAGCGCCGAGCTCCAGCTGGAGCCTGGTGCTGATCCTGGCGCTTCCACTGAGCCCTGACAGTCCTGAAGAAGTGCTGATCCTGGCGCTTCTGCTGAGCCCTGACAGCCCTGCAGCTCCAGCCATCTCTCGCTCAGGCTTGTGCGGTGCTGCCACCGATTCAGTTTATTCCCCTCCCCCGTTACTTTTCTAAGATGGTCACATACCAGGTGCCAATGTACCACAGGTGGTACCCATACCACTGGTTGAAAAGCCCTGCTTTGGAGAATAGATTAACCTCTTCTTTTTTGTGGCAGCCCTTCAAATAGTGGAACGCTGCTATCATGTCTCCCCTGGCGCTTCTTTTCACTAGACTAGCCATATCCAGTTCCTGCAACCTTTCGTCATATGTTTTAGTTTCTAGTCCCCTAATCATCTTTGTTGCTCTTCTCTGCAGTATTCCCATAGTCTCAACTCTTCCAAACTCTTACTCTTCTCAATTCTTCCAAAGGCTTAACTCTCAGGATGGTTTTGGAAATGCATCCATAACTTTAATGGTTATACTGCTGGAGTCCAAATATATAGTTCACGCTATGAAACGTAAAAAGCTGTAAAAAAAAACTGTTAGGCAAAGCAATAGGGACGTCTGAAGCAGTGCCAGCTGTTATCATTTTTGGAAAACCAGTAATAAGGCTGCCAGCTTCACTTGCATAAATACAGCTAGTCAGTTTATGATCACAGTTGGGACAGGAATTTCCATTGTAAAACACTGTGGTTGTTGAGGCTGTTGAGTAACCAATTGAGTTGAGTAACCAGTTATGTAACAGATCATGATTATTAAGCTAGTCAAGTGTCATAAGTACAGAACCCAACTTAACCAATGGCTTTTTTTTTGCCTGAAAACATAAAAGTGAACTGGTTTCAAAGTGCATGAATTGCAATTCTGTGACCGTGGGTATTGGTGCGACTGTTTCCAATGGTCTTAAGTGACTTTTTCAAAGACAGTTCTCATTCTGAACCATCATTAAGTGAAATACCATAATTCTAGAAGAAAAGGCATACATTGAGAATTATTCCTTGTTTTCAAAGAGTTAAGAAGTATTAATACCATTTTACAATGCCTTGGTAAGGCCACACTTGGAATACTGCATCCAGTTTTGGTCACCGCGATGTAAAAAGATGTTGAGACTCTAGAAAGAGGACAGAGAAGAGCAACAAAGATGATTAGGGGACTGGAGACTAAAGCATATAAGGAACGGTTGCTGGAATTGGGTATGTCTAGTTTAACGAAGAGAAGGACAAGAGGGGACATGATAGCAGTGTTCCAGTATCTCAGGGGCTGCTCCAAAGAGGAGGGAGTCAAGCTATTCTCCAAAGCGCCTGAAGGCAGGGCAAGAAGCAACAGATGGAAACTAATCAAGGAGAGAAGAAACCTAGAATTAAGGAGAAACTTCCTGACAGTGAGAACAATTAACCAGTGCAACAACTTGCCTCCAGAAGCGGTGAATGCTCCAACATTATTTGTCTGAAATGGTATAGGGTTTCCTGCCTGAGCAGGAGGTTGGACTAGATGACGTCCAAGGTCCCTTCCAACTTTATTATTATTATTATTGTTGTTGTTGTTAAAACTTTTTTTCCTGAGCTAAGCCGATTTTAAAAAAAGGGTAAAGACTGGAGAAAATATTGACTTCATCTTAGCTTTTAGAAACTGCAGAATAACAGAATACAGAATAATATAGTTGGAAGGGACCTTGGAGGTCTTCTAGTCCAACCTTCTACTCAAGCAGGAGAGCTTATACCACAAGTGGCTGTCCAGACTCTTCTTAAAGTCTTCAATGAGGGAGAACCCATGGGCTGCATTAGACAAGTGATTTTCTATTGGCCTATGTCCTGGTGTTTTTAACACTTTGGATTAGAAAAGAGATAAAAGGATAAGATAAAAGAAAGAAATAAAGTGGTCCCTCATTCTTTGACTGATCAGGAGTGAACCTGCTTAGCTGAGAAAGTCAACTGAGGGCTGGAGTTGTCAATTGATAGAATCCAATTTATAGTAACCAACCACATGAAATTTTTCAGTAGATAGGAATACAGTTAATGCACATACAATAACTTTAATAACCTTCAGGGAGAACCTGCTGTCCTACATCCTATTAGATCAGTGATGGCGAACCTTTTAGACACCGAGTGCCAAAACTGCAACCCAAAACCCACTTATTTATCGCAAAGTGCCAAGGCTGCATCAGCATTGTGGTGCCCTGAGGAGGTGTGGGGGCATGGCCCAATAGGTGAGCGTGGCTGCAGTGGTCATGGCAGGCTGTGGCCGCGGCCAGGTGTGTGGGGGCCAGTCCCTCGCCATCTCTGGGGCCAAAGCCACTTGCTTGCTCGCTTCCTGCCTGTCACTTCCAAACGCCACATGCTCGACACTCTGGCAAACTGCTGGGGCAATGGTCTGTGTGCCCACACAGAGGGCTCTGAGTGCCACCTCTGGCACGCGTGCCATAGGTTCACCACCACTGGCTTAGATGGAGAGGATGGTGTATGTAACAACCCCTTTAGAGATCAGGGGATGTTTTTTTCACATAACATGTTGAATCCAGCTGGGGAAAAGTCCAGCTAAGAATTATAACTCCATGTTTTTAGCATTTGCAGATTAAAAGAGATCTTGCACATTCTTCCTGACTCTGCTCATAGAGATTGTTCCTCGTTCAGGGTCCTGTGTCCTTTGAGGAGGTGGATGTTCATTTCACCAATGAAGAATGGTCGCTGCTGGATCCCGACCAGAAAGCCCTGTACCAAGAAATAATGTTGGAGACGTCTAGGATTGTAACCTCTTTAGGTAAGGGTTTATCTAGAAGAAAATTAAGTAAGACTGAGGAGTCATTGGACTGTTTATTTACAGCTTAGGATATCTGTGCAGAACTTGTTAAAATGGTTTCTTTTCTTTTCTCTTTTCATTTTATATCAATTCCAGTCCACCTCTGTGGTCTTCTAAGTACCATAGTATCAACCTCCAGCTCGAATATCCAAATAAAGTCCAGGATTTCTTCCATTTCTGAAAATCTTACTGGTTTATTGAATACATGACATAGTATAGGCGGAGGAAAACTAACTCTAAAATCCCAAGACATCTAATCAAAGCATATATCAATGACATTCCCAACCAAACCTCCCAGATGTCCACAGAGTTCATGTAAACACATTCTCATTGTTTAGATAACTGTCTGCTATCTTCTTCACAGTGGTTAGAATGTCTTTCAAAAGTTTCCATACATCTTTTCTCAACAAATGTCTGCAGAACTGGAGAGGTTTCGTTTCTGTAACTAACCCATTTGAAGCCTCATCTCCACCCCGCCCCTTACTCTAATGACAACGTGAAAACAATAAGGCAGGTAGCTGCCAGGTTTTCACTCTTGACACATAGTATCATGTAGAAGAAAGGAACTGGTTAGAGATAGTTGGTCTGGAGAGTTAACAAGCAGTCTTGTGATCTTCTACATCAATACTGCAGAACTATTGGGAATATAATCAGAGAAGGGTGGTTTTGCTTATTTCACTTGTCCTAATTAGCCATATTTTTTTCTTGGAGTGATACTGCAATGATAGGTATGTTGTGGCTTTAGCACATCTGACACAAGGGTGTATGCTACATCCTGTCAAGATCTAGGCTGCAGGACACTGCATTAGTTATTATGTTGTCTTATGTTCTGCATTTAAATTGTTGTCAGACACCCAGAATTATACGAGTTGAGCAGCCACACCAACATTTTAAGTTAAGAAATAGCATTCATGCTGTCATTTTTCCTTTTGTTCTCCCTCCAGATGTCCAGGAATAGGTGTAGGCTAGGGATTGTCATGGGGATTGCAAACTATATGTTGTAGAGTTTCTGATATCTTTTTCTCCTCCCCCGAGCAGTTGATGCACAGAAAAATGAAAATTATCGAGAGCCACGTGTGGTGCCATCACAAATAATCGAAACTGAAATACGAGAACAGCAATGTGCAGATAAGTGGGGAAGAAGGAGATATGAGAAAAAAGAATCTTACACTTGGAGAGAAAACTTGACCTTTGAATGTGTGGAAATGGATAATTTCCAGATTCAACATGATTTCAAAGAAAGTAGTATCGGAAAGTGTCGAGGAAATGGGAAGAGATTCAAACCGAAACCCAATTTCAGTAACTGCTGCAAAATTGGAAAAAACTTCAACTATAACACTAAAATTATCCCACATAAAATAATCCATGCAAAGGAGAAGCCCTACAAATGTTTGGACTGTGAAAAGAACTTTAGGTGGAGAGGTAATCTTCACTATCATAAAAAGATCCATTTGGGGGAAAAGCCCTTCAAATGCGCAGAATGTGGAAGAAGTTTCAATATGAACAGTTCCTTGACTTATCATAAAAGGATCCATATGGGAGAGAAACCCTATAAATGCACGGACTGTGGTAAAAGCTTCACTATGAACAGTGCCTTTACTTTTCATAAAAGAATCCATATGGGAGAGAAATCTTACAAATGCCTGGAATGTGGAAAAAACTTCAGCACCAAAAGTTATCTGACCTCCCATAAAAGGATCCACACAGGGGAAAAACCATATAAATGCGTAGACTGTGGAAAAAGCTTCAGTATGAAAAGTTCCTTTACTTACCATAAAAGGATCCACATGGGAGAGAAACCATATAAATGCCTGGAATGTGGGAAAAGCTTCAGTATGAATAGTTCTCTAACATATCACAAAAGGATCCACACAGGAGAGAAACCCTATAAATGTCCTGAGTGTGGAAAGAGCTTCAGCAGCAGCAGTTATCTAACTTCCCATAAAAGGTTCCATACAGGGGAAAAACCCTATAAATGCATAGAGTGTGGGAAAAGCTTCAGTTTGAACAGTTCCCTTGCTTCTCATAAAAGGATCCACATGGGAGAGAAACCATATAAATGCCTGGAATGTGGGAAAAGCTTCATTATGAATAGTTCTCTTACATATCACAAAAGGATCCACACAGGAGAGAAACCCTATAAATGTCTGGAGTGTGGAAAGAGCTTCAGCAGCAGCAGTTATCTAACTTCCCATAAAAGGATCCATACAGGGGAAAAACCCTATAAATGCATAGAGTGTGGGAAAAGCTTCAGTTTGAACAGTTCCCTTGCTTCTCATAAAAGGATCCATACAGGAGAGAAACCTTATACCTGCACGGAGTGTGGAAAGAGCTTCAGCAGCAGCAGTTCTCTTACTTGCCATAAAAGGATCCATTCAGGGTTGAAACCTTATATATGCAATGAATGTGGGAAGAGTTTTATTTCAAGCAGCTCCCTTACGAAACACATTAGTATCCACTCGGGGGAGAAATTATATACTTGTACAGAGTGTGGGAAAAGCTTCCAACTGAATAGTCACCTAACTTCCCACAAGAAAATGCATACTGGAGAAAAACCCTATTGATGCACGGACTGTGGAAAAAGCTTCAGTATCAATAGTTCCCTTACTTCTCATAAGAAGATCCATTCAAGGTTGAAACCATACATATGCAAGGAATGTGGGAAGAGTTTTGTTTCTAACATCTCCCTGACGAATCATGTTTGTATCCACCTAGATGAGAAACTATATCAGTGTACGGAGTGTGTGAAAAGCTTCAGGTGGAAAAGTCACCTAATTTCTCATAAAAGGATGCATACAGGAGAGAAACCCTATAAATGCATGGACTGTGGAAAAAGCGAACAGTTTCCTTACTTCTCATAAAAGGATCCATACGGGAGAAAAACCCTATGAATGCACAGAGTGTGAGAAAAGATTTAGCAAGAGCCGTTACCTTACTTCCCATAAACGAGTCCACACACGGGAGAAGCGATAAATATGCTCTGAATATGGAAAGAGTTTTTGTGAAACTCTTATGCTGCCTAACAGAAATGGGGAAAAAATATACATGCATGATATGTGGAAAGAAATTTATGTGGAGCAATCAACTTACTTTCCATAAAAGGACCCACATGGAGAACATGTCTTTTGGGATTGAAGTGTTCTGAATTCCTGTAAAAGGATTGGCTGTAATATCAAACATATACAGTAAATGCAGAACTTCACTCAAGAATTATGAACTGATGTGTCTAAAGGCTCCATACAAGGGAAATAGCATGTAAGCATGTAGTGTGGAAAGAGCTTCAAATGCTTTTCTTTCTGCATGTGCCTTGCAGATAGATTTTTTTTTTTTTAAATTTCTGATGATACCAGTCCCTGCAGGGTTTTTTTGGCAGGGTTTTTCAAAGTGCTTTGCTATTGCTGCCATCATAGGGCTGAGAGAAAGTGACAGGCCCAAAGTCACTTAGTGTCTAAAGTGGGACTCCCAGTTTCCAGCCTGGTCTCTTAACCACTGCACCATGCTGGCTTTTTCAAGTGGAATAGAAACTTTATTTTTGGAAAATAAGTTACTGTAGGTACACGTGGGAGAAACATTAGAACGCATAGAATGTGGGAACAGTTTGAGAAGGAAATGTCTACTTGGGAAAGGAATCCATAAATGCAGGGAGAATGGAAGAAATTAAGCAAAAACAGGTTCCTTAATTCCCATGAAAGGATCCATATGGAAGAACCACAGATACATGTGTCTGGGAGAAGAATGATCAAGTAGGTGTCTGGAGAACTTCAGTACAAGGCGCTCTTATTTCCCAGAAAAAGTTTCACATAGGAGAGAGAATGTAGATATAAATACATGGAACACCAAGAGAGGCTAAAACATATAAGGAACGGTTGCTAGAATTGGGTATGTCTAGTTTAACGAAGAGAAGGACAAGGGGGGACATGATAGCAGTGTTCCAATATCTCAGGGGCTGCCATAAAGAAGAGGGAATTAAGCTATTCTCCAAAGCACCTGAAGGCAGGACAAGAAGCAACGGGTGGAAACTAATCAAGGAGAGAAGCAACCTAGAACTAAGGAGAAACTTCCTGACAGTGAGAACAATTAATCAGTGGAACAGCTTGCCTCCAGAAGCAGTAAATGCTCCAACACTGGAAGTTTTTAAGAAGAGACTGGACAGCCATTTGTCCGAAATGGTGTAGGGTTTCCTGCCCGAGCAGGGGGTTGGACTAGATGACCTCCAAGGTCCCTTCCAACTTTACTATTATTATTATTATTTGTCTTATTTCCTGTAAAAGAATCAACTCTTAAGGGTCCAGTAAGTACAATGATCCCACAGAAAAAAGTGAACAGAGGATTGTCATAGGAGAAACTGAATAAATGTATGAATTATGGAAAGAGCTCCCAAGATAGATTTTTTTAAATACCAGAGATATAACCTAGTTAGTTATATCTGCTCACAAGAATCTTTTATTAAACTGTCCTGCTTATTATTATGCCAGTATTTGTCAAGACCTGTGCCTGGTCAGTTTGCTTTATTTAGGTAGAAGCAACATCTTAAGTTGTTCTGGGATCAGGCTGCAGGCTTTGTGGAGAGCTACATATGTAAGCAAAGCAGGGGGAAATGTATGTTTGTACGTGTATGTGTACTTTAGCTCTAATTGTAAATACCCGCCTTCCTTCAATATATAGCCAAGTATTTAAGCTCTTAGTTCTTTGTTTTTTATGTATCATGATGTACATTAGTTGTGGTTTATCTGTGAAACATCTTTTCCAGGTATTTATATGTACATGCCCGTTTGGTTGAGTATGTTTCTGGTTGCAAAATCACATTAATCCTGCTGTAAAGAGAAGTGTGGCCAGCGAGTTTATGATTGCCAGCTATTGCCTCTTTACTTTAAAAATGTTTATGGACATCCAGGTCATGGTTGTCCCAAAATGCTTTTTCAAGAGGCAACTGGGCTTTCTTTTTTTTTTCTTTGAAGATGTTCCGCTTCTCATCCAAGGAACTTAGAGTAGATGAAGTTTCTTGGATGAGAAGTGAAATATCTTCAAAGAAAAAACAAAGTCCAGTTGCCTCTTGAAAAAACACCTTTGGGATTACTTTAAAAATGTTTTTATGAATCCAACAGTGTACTCATATGAACAATATTTTTTTAAGAAGGGAACTAAACAGCTTGATTTAAATTACTCAGTGTCTTCTAACCAGGATCATATTTTCTAACCTTATTATTAAATATATATATCATTCATATCAAAAAGAATCCTTTCTGGATTTGTTACATTTCCAGACCACTGAATTTGTCAAGGATTTCAATATCACTTTGGTACCACTGTATATTTGGTGATATCAAAGTAATCAGAAAGGTCAATCCTATTTGAAATTTTAGAGGACCGTGGCACTGCCAATTGGAGATATCTTGTGTTGGTGTGATTGTGACTGTGTTTTTTACCTTACTATAGCTTTTAAAAAATGTTTCTGTATGTTCTGATTAACTGTATTTCTCATTTTGGAGGGTTATTATAATAAATTATGGGAAAGAGTTGTTGCACAATACAGATGATGCCTCTACATCAGGGGTTCCCAACCTCCGTGGACCTGCACTGGGTCACGGCATGCCAGAAACCAGGCCACACAAAGAAGTGAAACCCCATCTGCAGAATGCAGGTAGCATACAAAACTATGACCCCTCTGGTCCACAGAAAAACCTCCCCATGGAACCCGTTCCTGGTGCCCAACAGGTTGGGGGTCACTGCCCAGAAAAAAAAACAAATGAATATGTGGGAGAAGCTTCAGTGAGTGGAGAGAAATGGAATAGACAGAAAGTGCTAGAAAGTGGTAGAAGGAATTCACATCAAACTCAGTATCAAAGGATTCCCACTCCACAGATGGTGAATGTATAGAAATCCATGGAATATGAGAAAAACAGCACCAAGGCAGATGAACCTATAAATGAAGCAACAAAGGGGAGAAAGCAGTGCCTCTAAAAATGTAGGAAGATTCATTACGTTCCTCACAATGCGAGGGTTTTTTTTCCAGAATTTTCCTAAATTATGTAATTTGACATCTGTGGAAATAATCCATGCAGCACTGATGGTGCTTTGGCCAATTTTATCTTTCTTTATATCTGAGAACTCAGAGGGGAACCAGAGAAGCCTTTTGCTGTGTGCGGGTGGAGGGGGCCCCTGAGGGAGAAGAGGGGATGGAGGAGGCCTAATTCGGAGTCAGGCCAAGAGAAAGGAAGAGTCGAGTCCTGAGGAACCCCACAGAGCCCCGATGGCGGTGCTTCCCTCAGAGCCGTGTGTGTGTCTCTCTCTCTCCCCTCTCCCTGCCAACAGAGGCTCCTCCCACGTCTCTTGGAACTTTTTCCTACCTTTTCCTGCTTCCCACACTCTATGCATTAAATTGGAGACACCTCGATGTGTTTGGGCATGATGGGCCCCTAAGAGCCTCGAAGCAGAAGAGTGGCCCCAAAGGAGGCCTCATCCAGAGTCTGACCGAAAAAAAGAAGTCGAAGCCATCTCTGAAAAGCTCCAAAGAAGCCCGATGGCAGCTCTTCCCTCAGGACCGCATCTTCCTCTCAACGGCCTTTCCCGCCTTTTCCCATCTCGCCGCCTGAGCGAATCGCACGGGGAGGGGCGTGGCCAGAAGGAAAATGGGGGAGGAGCCTTGCAAGGTCCCGTCTCCCTTGCCCTGCAGCCTTTTCCCCAACATCTCCGCGGGGGGGAGGTCCCAGTCCTCTTCTCCCCCCCCCCCCCAGCCTCAATGGGGCTGTCCCCCCAAGCGTGGCCCTGCTTTTTCTCGGTTGGGGGCTACCTGAATCAGGGGCAGTTCAATGCATTTGGATGTGATGGGCCAAGATCCTTGAGGGGGCTAGAAAGGGGCTCCTGGGGACGACGTTGTGTGGGGGTGGAGGAGCCCCTGAGGGAGAGGAGGGGCCCAGAAGGAGGCCTCATCCAGAGTTTGACTGAGAAAAAGAAGTTGAGGCCGTCTCTCAGGAGCCCCGAAGAAGCCCGATGGCGACGCTTCCCTCAGAGCCGCGTCCTTCTTTCTTTCAACGGCTTTTCCCGCCTCGCCGCCTGAGGGAACCGCACTGGGAGGGGCGTGGCCAGAAGGGAGGCGGGGGGAAGGGAGGAGCCTTGCAACGTCCCGTCTCCCTTGCCCCGCAGCCTTTCCCCCAACGCGTCTTCTCGAGGTCCTAGCCCCCTTCTGGGGGGGTTCTCCTTCCCCCTTTCTCTTCGAGGGATCCTTGCCAGCTGACCCACCAACAGCAACGGTGACCCCAGCAGAGCCCATGAAGGCTTCCCGCAAGCCCCCTCCCAAGAGAGGAAGGGGAGAAATGAAATTGGCAGGGGGTCTTAACAGGGATGCTTTGGAGTTGGCCTGCCAGAAATACGTTGCGCCAATAAGAATCCGCTCTTCTCTTGAGTCATTTGTCTCTGAGCAGAATCTCTTGTGATTTCTCCCTGTTGAAGAAAGCCTTTGGAACAGAAAATGAGAAAGTTCGTGTGTTTGTGTGTCTGTGTCTGTGTGTGTGTGTTGTGTGCAGCTACAACTGGAGGGGACTTTGGAACTAGGTTGTCCCAAAGAGAACACAGATGGGCCCTGAGTGAAGCAATCTCTACGGGAGACAACAATTGCTGAGATGTGGAAATCCCATTCTTAGCCGATTCAGAATGTAGCAGTCTCATCTAGACACAGCTCACTTGTTTTTCACAAGACCTTTCCGTGACACCTATCTCCAACCTTCCAGTGCATGATCAACTCTGGCTTTCTAGAGGACTATCTGTATGCTTCTCCTCCTTCAAATGCAACATCTTCTGCTTCATGGGGAGCCCGTTTCCCTGACCTACTGGGAAATTTGAAGTCTGAAAAGTCTAGAGAAAAGTCTAGTCCAGTCTAGAGAAAAGGCCTGGGGGGGGGGCATGATAGCCAGTATTCCAGTATATGAGGGGCTGCCACAAAGAAGAGGGGGTTGATTTATTTTCCAAAGCACCAGAAAACTAGACAAGAAACAAGGGTGGGAAACTAATCAAAGAGAGAAGCAATCTGGAATTAGGGAGAATGTTCGTAACAGGGAGGACAATTAACCAGTGGAGCAGCTGGCCTTCAGAAATTATGGGCGCTCCATCACTGCAGATTTTAAAGAAGAGACTGGACAGCCACTTATCTGAAATGCTATAAGATCTGCTTGAGCAGAAGGCTGGAATAGAAAACCTCCAAGGTCCCTTCCAGTTCTGTTCTGATAAGAATCAGGTGATGAGGATGTTTTGAAAATTTATTTCTGCCTTCTAGGCTAGGGAGTGACTGTCGTTTTCCCCCTCTGCATTTTCCCCATGAACCTTAATTACATAAATATTACAAATTATATCAATACTGAAGCTCAATTGATCCATGACTTGAGTCTGCAGTCTCATTTCTGGGGGAAATATTGATGTATCTCCTGGGCTTTATGTATGGATAGCAAAAATAATCTGGGTCAAATTTGTCAGTCCAGGCAGGCTTTTATGGGATGTTTGGAGGATGGAAACGGATTAGTTGGGTCTTCAAGCTAAAAAAGATGAAGTTGCAGCCTTTCCTATTTCCATCCTGTCTCTCTTCTTCCCAGTGGACAAAATGGAGTCACTGTTGGTCACTGAGTCGTGTTGTTCTATTGGTGGAGCTGCAAGAGTCACTGGATTTCCAACTCAGGTAGGAAGGAAGAGATCAGCAGCTAATATGAGGGAGCAGTAGGAGACCTCTAGTTTCCTTTGGGGATGCAACATACGATACTGCTATTCCTGAGCAGGAAATTGGAAATGTAAATTCATGATCAGTCAACTAGGCCCATGTGTCAACATTTAAATTTTGGAAATGGAATTTCTTAGTGGTTATATCATTCTGGTTTCAAAAAATGCCACCTGGAAGGTCATGTTGTCTAACCCACGTAAAGCAGATAGGACACACAAATAGTTAGGTTAAACCTATTTAAGTATTATCTTGTTTTCGTAT